TATTTGGTACAGGATCTCACTATGCAGTTTAGACACCTAGTGATCCTCCTGTTTCAGCCTCCCCAGCACTGGGATCACAAGCATGCCACCACCACGCCCAGTTTTGGTGGCCTGCACAGTGCACCATTGGTTCAGGGGCTGGCACAGCATGCAGTACTGGGGACTGAACCCAGGTCTTTGTGCTTGCCAGGCTGGTGCTTAGACTACTATCTCTCTAACCCTTCAAGTCCAATATTGATAAAACGTTGCTGAGCATATATTATCACATATTCTGTTACTAGTCAAGCATTTTCTAAAGGGGATAATTTCAGGGGATAATTCCTAATCTCCTGAAAAAAGACTAAGTTATAGTCACCTCATTCGTAAAAGTAAGCAATGGTTATATTTTCTTAAAAAAAAAAATCAAAACTAGCCTTTCCATTCTCCCAACAAACCTAAATATTATTATTATTATTATTATTATTTTTTTTTTTTTGTCTCTTTGAGACAGGGTTTTGCTATTCAGGTCAGGCTGGCCTTGTGCTCACTTTGTAGCCAGGCTGGTCTTGAACTTGCAGCTACCCTCCTGCCGCAGCATCCTGAGTGCTGAGATTACAAGTGTGCACCATGACACCCAACCAACCTTACTATTTTAATAGGAAATTTTAAAAAACTTTCCAGGAAAGGGAGTTTAGAGAAAAAAAAGTAAAACCAAAAAAACCTTAAAAGATTAATTGAGCTTTAGGAAAAATGTAAGTTGACAAATGTAGTAGTCTTCATTAAAATTTCAGGTGTTTGTGAACTACAGTTTACATCCATAAAATAAAAACTGTCATAAGCATCCCAACATATTTTTCAGTGGTGTCAGTCTTCCCTGGCATATTGCCAGAAACATCCCTGTCCTCCCAAGGGAGACACTGCCAAATGTTTGCTGGAGGGGAAAAATGCTCCCAGTGGAGAATCACTGCCTTTAAGTTTTAAAACCGCCAAAATCATAACTTGCTTTCTAGTCAGATCTAACACATGTATCTTACCAAACTCTCCTCAACCTTGCCTCATATGGTCTTACTCAACAGGGGCTTTCAAAATAGGTCAGATTGGGCCGGGGAGATGGTGCAGTAGAGTAAGAGCTTGCCTGGCAAAATAGGTCAGATTTGCTGTTTCCAAGGAAAAGTATTTTCATTAATTCCAAGTCATTTAGCAGTTTCCTTACTAAAATTCTCAGTCTACTTATTCAATGCCCTTCACAAATCTTTCAATTGTTGGCTCTTTGCAGAAACTTTGCTTATCTCAGCATATATTAACCTTATTAATAAAGAACATCATGGGGCTGGTGAGATGGCTCAGTGGTCTAAAGCACCTACTTGGAACAAGCTTGGCAAAGCACAGGGACCAGGGGTCAATCCCCCAGCACCACATGCCAGCCAGCCCTGCCCCCTGGTGGGCTGAGCTGGCCACACACACACACACACACACACACACTAAAAAAAAAATAAATAAATAAAGAACATCATACACATTTTTGGTTATTAATCTCATATCCTGAACTAAACCTAAGATTTGTTGCCTGGTACATTTCTTTTGTATAACCAATTGGATCTTACTACCATTGTGCTGAGCACAGAGGCAATCAAAAACTTCATAACTAGCCTGTAATCCCAGCACTTGGGAGGCTGAGGCAAAAGGATCATTGTGCGTTCAAGACCAGCCTGGGCTACAAAGTGATCTCAAGACCAACATGAGCTGCATGGAGACCCTGTCTCAAAAATAAACAAAACAACAAGAAAACCCACAAAGGCATCCTAACAAACAAAATTCAAGAGTTCTGTCATAAGCATAAACTGGTTTGCTTCTGTTTTTGCAGTAATGGAGACTGAATTTAGGGCCTTGTGCAAACACTTATTCTACTGAGTTATCTCCCTGGCCCCTTGGTTTGCTTATGATTTTGCTTATGAACTACATTTCCTATCTGTAACTATAACTAAATATATTCATTCCAGTAAGGTTTTTTTTTTTTTTTAATTTTTAATGTTTTTTAGTACAGAGTCTCACTACACAGATCAGACTCATAGTGACCCTCCTGTTTGCAGCCTCCCAAACTGGGATTACAGGCATGCCCCAGTCTCAGTGCTTCCTGGGAACGGGCTGCACAGAACACCGGGATTGAATTCTGGTCCCTGCACCTGCCTAAACAGGCGCTTTAGTCTGCTGAGCCCTATATTCCAGTTTTTTAAAAAAGAAAACATTAAGGTATAATTATACTTTGTATATTTTAAATACACAGGTTACTGTTTATATATTTTAAATATATAGGTTACTGTTTTCTACAATGTCAGGAAATGATACAACAGAATTAAAATTACAAACATCACACACAAACTCTATGAACTCCATTTATCTTAAATATTCAACTTTTTTTTAAGTACAGTCAACATGGGCAAAGAACTCAATTGAAGGGTGTATGAATTTATATGAACACAAAATCATACACAAATCTCCAAAGATGAAATGAAAGCACTTTGAAAGCAGAGTAACTCTGTACAAGTTACTTGATTTCCCTATGCTTCAGTTTCCTCATGGCCAAAATGGCAATAGCAACACTATCTGTCGGAAAGGAAAGCTCTTAAAACAACACTGCACAGGTAGAAAACAAAATAAAGTTAGGTATAATAATCTCAATATCATATCTATTCAGATTGAACAGTCCTACCATTGGCAATACAAACTTGCAGAATTTGCTATAAATTTGTTTTTAAAACTTATTAAATAAAAATATTACTCATTATTACAGTATCTGTAGATAGTCAAGTAAAAGCCTCAATGTATAAAGTTCTGATTCAAGTCTGATACTGGTTTTAAAAAATAGAACGATTGGCCAGACATTTAGGATCTGTAACCCGGGAAGGGTCTGATGGCCGGCTTCACTAATAAACTCTGTTTTTCAAAAAAAAAAAAAAAAGGACGATTATTTGACACAAATTTAAACTATTTTCGCAAATGTTAAACTGATCATTAACACAGAACTAATTTATATTCCATTTACTTCTTCAAATCTGTCAAGGACACGACAGACACCTCCGTTTTCAAGGTACTTTTATAAGCCAAAAGGAAATTCAACTCTGATCTCCACATATCTCACTTAAGAGCATAGTAAAAGCCCAGGTATTATTACAGAACAGCGCTTCAGAAAACACAATGAAGGGTTTTAAGTTGCAGTCAACAATTCTTATGCAGTTATGCCAAGTTTTTGTCCGGAGAAACAAAAGCTCATGTCAGGGAGCCCGGGACCCGCCGCGAAATAGGCAGAGGCTGGGACCGGCCGCGGCCTTGGGAAACCTGTCCCGGCCAGCTGCCTCCGCGCTCGTCCGGGGAGGAGACGCGGGCCCCACCCGGCGCGCAGAGGTGACAGCCGGCTCGGTCCCGCCCCGCGCCGCCCGCACAGACCCTCGGCCGCCAGGCCCGGTTCCCGCCCGCCTCCCTGCCCGCGACCCGAAGCCTGCAGCTGGCCAGGCAGGGCGCGGGGCCTGCAGGGGGCCCAGGGCAGCGCAGGCCCAGCTGCGGAAGCCAGGCCCTCAGAAGCCGCGGGCTCGTACCGCCTCGCCGTCACTCACCGGCGCCTCATCGTACCGCGCCGCCTCAGCCCAGCCAGGGCGCTGACGAACGGCGCCCCGCAGCCTAGAGCGTCCCTCGGCTCCCGGGCCGGGCCCCACGCTCGGCCATTCAAACGCAGCGGCGCGCGCGGCCCGCCGGGATAGCTTCCCTCGGCGACCCGCGGGCTCCGCCCTACGCAGGCCCCGCCTCCCCCGGCTGGTGTCACGCGGGAGCGGGAGAGCGTGTGGTCACGGAGCCCTCTGGTGGCCAAAGGTGCACACCGCAATTAACTGTGGTACCGCAGGTAACTTGGCTGAGACAGGAGAGTACGGTGTGTACCTAGCAGGAGTAATCTAGTCTGGTAGGAGAGACTGTAGCACGAGGTATCGGGTAAACAGTCTGATGCAAAAATTATGTGCGGAGAGAGATGTATTGGTTCACTCTATTTAAATTTACTTGGACATAATATGTTAAAGCACAGATTTTGAAACTATGTGATGTTGGACAAGTCACATAAATTCCTGTTTCAGTTTTCTCATCTATAAAACGGAATAGTGTGTCTCTGAAGCCCGCTGCCCAGCAGCATGGCCGCGCGGCAGCCTCTTCGGGTTTTGTGCCTGGCGGGATTCCGGCAGAGTGAACGCGGGTTCCGTGAGAAGACTGGAGCTTTGAGGAAGGCTTTGCGGGGGCGTGCGGAGCTTGTGTGTATTAGTGGTCCCCACTCAGTCCCTGATGCAGTGGGCTCCGAGAGCGCCGGCCCAAATTCCGGGACCAGCTCCACGGAGGAGCGGCCTCGAGGCTGGTGGTTTTCGGAGGAGGCAGACATCTTCAATGCCCTGGAAGAGCCCTCAGTGTGCAGGGGCCTGGAGCAAGCCCTGGGAACGGTGGCACAGGCACTGGACAAGTTGGGGCCTTTTGATGGACTCCTTGGCTTCAGCCAGGGGGCTGCACTGGCAGCCCTTGTGTGTGCCCTGGGCCAGGCAGGTGATGTGCGCTTTCCCTTGCCTCGATTTATCATTCTCATCTCTGGTTTCTGCCCCCGCGGCCTTGGACTCAAAGAACCTATCATGCAGAGCCCCTTGTCACTGCCTTCGCTCCATGTTTTTGGGGATACTGATCGAGTCATCCCCTCTCAGGAGAGTATACAGCTGGCTAGCCGATTCCCAGGAGCCATCACCCTAACCCATTCTGGTGGCCACTTCATTCCAGCTGCCGCATCCCAGCGCCAGGCCTATCTCAAGTTCCTAGACCAGTTTGCAGAGTGAAAGATCAACAAAAGCCTCTGCCCTTGCATCCTCCAGCCTTGGGGCAGCCTCTGTGATGTTACCTTCCCCACTCTTTTGAGCACCTTGGAGGTCTTCTGGGACCTCTGCTGCTGTGCTGAAATGTGCCTCAAAATGAGTTAAAGATAACTATCCATTCTCGGAACTACTTACATGACCTCATGCTTTGCACTGGAGAAAAAGAAAGTAGGCAACCTTAAGGATTTTGGTTTCTGATAAACATGTAAAGGGCTGGGTGTGGTGTTAAATGCCTTTAAAACCAGCACTCTGAAGGGTCAGGGAAATGGCTCAGTAGAATAAGTGCTTCCCTGGTAAGCACAAGGGAAGTTCAATCCCCAGTTCTGCCAAAAAATAAAAAAAAACCAGCACTCTGGGAGGCTGAGGTAACAAAAACATGAAAAAAATCAAAGAACCCTGGATGAGGGAGGGTGGACTGGCAAGAACTGGTACCACTAAGTGCCCGTGAAGTGGTAGTTTGTGTTTTGAGTATCTTTTCCCTGGTACACACTGATAAAAACCATTTTATAATGGAAGGCTGGTTTCCTGGCCACTCACAGCCACCTGGCCAGCACCAAGCCAGGAGGTACTTCCAGTTATGAGCTCTTGGGACAAGCTTGTGTATATGTGCACTCAACATTTTTGGTGGAAGTCCTAAGAAATTGAGAGCCAAAAGAAAAAGTCCTAAAAAGGGGCCGGGGAGATGGCTCAGTGGAGTAAGTGCTTCCCTGGTAAGCGTAAGGGTCTGAGTTCAGTGCCTGGTTCTGCCAAAAAAGAAAAAAAGAAATTGAGAACCAGGCATGGTGTGTTACTCACAATCCCAGCACTTGGGAGGCTGAAGCAGGAGGGTCCCTGAACATCCAGGGCCAATTTAGTCTACATGGTGAGTTCAAGTCCAGCTTAAATTGCATAGTTAGACGCCCCCCATCTCAGAAAAAAAAAAAAAATTCAAAAAATTTAAAAAAAAAAAAAAAAAAAAACGGAATAGTGCATCTGCCTGTTAGTGTTGCTGGGGGTATTAAACGAAGGAGTACACATGAAATGCTTAGTGAAGTCTGTGACACGTGGTAAGCCCTGCATGATCAGTATGTCATGGTTTAGTTTCAATTGTATACCAGTCTCTGTGCTAGACTTTTTAAGAATATAAGAAATGTGTACGATGCAGGATCTGTCCTCAGGAACTGGACTCAGTCTCTTTGGGATAGAACACCAGAGTATTGAGATTAGATTAGTATTGGTTCTGTTCCTGATATACTTATAACTACTAAGAACAATTATCATCTTTCTGGAGCCAGGGCCTACCCAGCTCCAGTGTAAGTCACTGGTTAGGTTAAGCAAACCACAACAGAAACAAGTTTCATCTCCCTCCTTGCAGAAGCTGATCAAGCAAGGCCTGTGGCAGAACTCTTCCTCCCTGCCACACTTCACATCGGTAGCCCTCGCTTAGGTCCTCCTTTCAGACTCTCCAGAGCTTGCTAAAGAAGTGGTTGCTTAAGTTCAACAACATTTTCAATAGCTCCTGTGTACCATGGAGACAGTTTGAGGACCGCACCACCAAGTACAAGCAGATATTTTTCCAGGTGCTAGAGACAGCTGAAGGTAGTTTACAATGTCTTGAAGAAACAGAACTCTTTGCAAAAGGTTACAGTGGTAGTTATAAAGGGCATTTCTTAAGAGAGTTCAATGCAAATAGAGGGCCTGCCAGACAAACTAATCAGAGCCAAGCTGTCATTAGGTGACTATGGTAATAGAAGCCTTAATTAATCCAAAAAATTAAGTAACAGTGAAAATTGAGGCAGCTCTCAGGGCAGTAGGAAAATATTTTTAGGATGTTTTGTGAGAGCAGTGCCTTTGGGAGCTTCTCAGACTGCAGCAAGCACGAACGAACAGGCACCTGCCTCTGTGTGGGCCACAGAGTCAGCAGCTGCAGTGGGGGCATGAGCAAAGGGGGCCGGAACCCTGGCTTCCAGGGCTACAGCAAAGACCGGTCCCCATGTATGGCTTCCACTAAGTAGCTGTGTTATTTTAAGGAAAATAAAAATTCACGCACACGAAGTCACTTCAATTATTTCTTCATCATCGTGAACAGGTCTTTCTTGATTCCCCCTATGCAAAATCATTGCTGAGCCCTCACCAGAGAGAGACAATAAAAAGAGCAAGCCATGACTCTTAGCTCAAGGGAGGATGGGTGGCAGGGCCCAAGTCCCAGGACTAGAGTATTCCTGTGTTCACACAGAAGACTCTCAGCTAAACCCCGGCTTCTGGTTGCCGGCAGGTCAGGAAGGAACCCCGCAGCTCTCATTTCTGGAGCAGTTAGTGCAGAGTCTCAGAAAAGCTGTTTTCCAGACCAGGCTCGGAGGCGCATCTCTAGTAGGCCCAGACTCCTTCAACATCATAATTTAAAAACAAAGCAAGCTGCCTTTGTAATACTAATTTTGAAAAATATAAAAATATTACACTTTAGCAATGAAAATCCAATGATACTTTTTCTATCAATAAGGGTTTTTTCCTTGAAGGGCTAAGGTTTGATCCCCTCCCGCCCCATAAGGTCTTGCTATGTAGTTCAGGCTTGAACTCATTATGTAGTTCAGGCTGGCCCTGAGTTCACGCTGGCCTTGTAGTTTGTGGTAATCCTCCTGCCTCAGCCTCTCAAGTGCTGGAATTACAGGCATACACCACCATGCCCAGCTAAATTTGATTTTTCTTATTAAAAAAGTGCATCCTCAGATAAATAAAGTGTGGTATAATGCACAATGGAGTACTGCTCAGCCATAAAGGATAAATTTGCGTCATTTGTAGGAAAACGGGTGGACCTTGAGACCATACTGCTAAATGCAATGAATCAGAGCCAGAAGGGTTAAATATTATGTGGCTTCTCTTGTAGGAGAAACTCAAAGTATAAATAATTTCAAGAGCAAAATAAAAGAAAGACCATATGAAAGAGGGAGAAGGATGTTGTGGGGATAGGAAGGGGATGGTGGGTGGTGAGAGACACAAAGGAGAATTGGAGAGTGTAAAGGACCAAAGCATAATATGTTCCAGTTGCCCAGGATGAATGTTTATTAGGTATTATAAACATGTACTGAGACGGGGCATGGTGGCGCATACCTGTAATCCCAGCTCTTGGGAGGCTGTAAACAGGCAGATCACAATGAGTCTGATCTAGTAGTGAGACCCTGAACACCTTGTAGACCCTTCCCTAAAAAACAAACAAACAAAAAAACCCCCAAAAAACATGTACTAATACAAATATTTTTAAGGTGCAGCTCTGACATGTACTTAAAATCCCTAAATGAGTGCCTCTGTACAAAGCATGTGTACCATGGGCTTTCATACGAGGTAGTCTCCAAGGGAGCTAAGCCTGCTCCTGTTCTCCTAAGTAAATGGGCAGCTGAATGAGCCTGCTGGCTTCTTGCTCTCTCCCCAAGGAAGATTCACTCAGGGGCATCATGTAGGGTAGTGGGACCCACAATCCCCACTGAGAACTGGAACTCATCAGGATTGAGCACTATACAACAGAAAGCCCTATGGTGATTGATCATTGAGAGCTGGGTCTGACAAATTGGATGTGGTTTTTTTTAGACCTGATGCTCCAGACAAGCAGGAAAAACGGAATAAGCTCTTTAATCACAGACTATCTACTCTGAGTGAAGTGCACTTTGGAGAGTATATGACAAAAACTGAAATTTTGTATAGGTACCTGGCATTATTAGTAGAGACCTGGAATTATTAAGTGGCAATGTTCAGAGGCAACAATGGTACAGCAGACACCACTGATCAGGAGAGTGGTGGTGAAGTCAGTCATGAGGAGGACTGGTGTCACCAAAGCACAAAATGGCTAAGGAGAAGAAGGAAGCATTACCAGCAGGAACCGTAGGTGTGAACATTCAGACCAGAGTTTCCGGGAACCACAGCATTTGTGATTCTTACATGGGACTCAGAATTCCCTTTTTTTTTTTTTTTTTTTTTGTGGAACCAGGGATTGAACTCAGGCCCTTGCGCTTGCCAGGCAAGCGCTTATTCTACTGAGCCATCTCCCAGGCTTTACATGGGACTCAGACGGATGCTAGGCCCAGTACAGGGTAATGCTTGACAAGGCCTAAATGACACCTCATCCATTCCATCCTCTGCACAGCCTCAGAATTTTTGGAAAATTCCAGGCAGTGGATTTTGGCAAAATCAATCCCCACCTTCCAGGCTGTGGAAGGAAGTGATGCAGTTTCACATAAGGCAAAAGCAGTAGAAATGAGTGTATCTTACCCCTGGCTTACAAGACTCCTGATTGTTTTGAACACTGTCACAATAGGACGCCCTCCTTAGCAGGAGGAGTAGCAGTTTTATTTGGGTGAAGTGGATTGTGTGGTGAAGACTCTATTCCTGATATACCTGCAGGTCCCTGTCATACTTCAACAGTTGGGGAGGAGGTGAGCAAAAATCTGTAGTAAGTCCATAGAAGTATAAATGAGAACATGCCAGGGGGCCTATTGCCAACCCATCAACATTTTAAACTGTATCAATCAATCCTAATTTATGACTTCCCCACAGAATCAGTGAGTTGCACTTCATCCTCAGTGACAAGTATCCAAGGAAAATTCACAGCAATTCTGTCATAATAATGAAAGTGGATACAAGGTGAATGCCCATTACCTGTGGACTGATGTTGTGCACACTATTTAGGCTTCAAAGAGAATAACAGAGATCTGACATTGAAGACATCCAACTAGGCTAAGTGAAAAAAGCAATTCAGTGGGCACTATTTGGTATGTTCCTGTTTATGCAATGAACAGATTAAACAACCCAACATTTATGTACGTGTTTACATAACAACTTTGTCTTTCCCATACTAAAAAGTACCTATTCTTTTCTTCAACTTTTTTTGCCTCCCACTTCATCCTCAGTGAGTCTGCTTGGGCTGTCACAGCAAAGTACTGAGTGGCTTAAATAAGAGAAATTTATTTCTGTATTTCCTTAGTTCTGGAGGCACAGAGTCCCGGATCAAGGGGTTGGTAGCTTGGTTCCCTGTGTCGGGCTGTCTCCTGGACTTTCAGAGGACTGCTTTCTTGCTGTGTCTTCACATGGTGGGTCATGGGGAGGTAGGGAAAGGCAGAGCGCTCTTCACTGTCTCTCACTGTAAGAGAACCAGGGCTACTGTGGGTGCCCACCTGCATGACTTCATCCCAGCATAATTACTTCCTGAGGCCCATCACTAAATTCCATCGCATGGGAGAGTAGGGTCTCAACATGTGAGTCCTGGGGGAATACAGAAATTCAGTTTATAACAATCCTTCTTCAAAAGTTTGAGATTAAAACACAATACTTTATATCAGAACCAACTTGAAGTCTTAAAAAATTCAAACATAGGGGAAAAAATACCCAAAATACCTAGATTGATCATTCAGATAGAAATAGATTGGCTCACATGTAAGATAGCTGAAATTAGTCACCCAAGTGAATGGATGAATCCAGAGTAACCAGACTTGGAGACCTGTGAGGCCATCTGTACTGCATCATTATGACTCATGCCTGCAGTTCTTTTTCATCCTTTAATGGGATCTGTGGGAATGGCAATGCTCCCAGCTTCCTAAGCAAGTGCTGCAGGGAGGGGTACTATAAAGGAGACTTGTTAAAATGTGAGTTGCACAACAGCTCCTCCTGAAACCAAGAAATGGTAATTGCTGGAGAAGAATGGTATCACTAAACCACTGTCTTCTCCCAGCGCCATACTACTAGTTTACATCATTGCTGAAGAAGTATTTTGTGGCATAGAAGAATGATGAACTAGAATTTAGGAAAAAAAAAAAACCAACTATAGAGTAATGTGGTAACTCAACAGCAACTGGTAAGGTAGGATCTTACACAATTTTTTCCCTTTTTCTTTTCTTCATTAAAGCAGTTTGAAAATCAACAGATAAAATGGAGGAAAAAGCTCTTCCTTGTAAGACCCCAGTACTAACACAGAATAAATTTTGTCATAAAGTAGTTTAAAGTGGGCTTTTTCAAAAGGCAATAATGATAGTAAAATTGAAATAACAAGGAGTTACCAAATAAAATGGAGTTATCATTTTATTGAAGCTGCCAAGACACTTAGGAGCTGTTAGGGTGTTCTGGGGAAACTGACTGGACCAGGAAAGACAGCCCAAGAGACTTCTTATGCAGACATTGCCCCATGATGTAGACCAAAAACTCATTTCTGGAAAAGGCTTTTACTCTCTAAAAGGGCTCATTCTTACTAATCCAGCTGTCTGAACAAAAATGTTTTTGTTCAAATTTCAATCCCAATGCAAGGCATGAAAAACCTTTGACTCCTAGAAAGAGGTACAAAACCAAACAAAAACTGTACCAGGGGGTACAAAGTATAAAAAACTATAAAATAAAACAAGGTAACTCATCTATGCTATAGAATTGTAGCTTGTCTTTTCATACTTCCTTTATTTAAAATCATATTTGCAAAAACTTTATAAAATCATACTTGCTCAAAGGCACAATGAAAGAGAAATTGGGTATTTATTTTAGGGTCAATATTCCTATCATTTTCTAATTCACGTTTAGTCCAGGCAGAGGCACACAGAGGCCCTCAAAAACTGTTAGTTGTGAACTTAAATTTTCAAAAGTGCTCATTTCAATGTTATTAACTCATACCTACAGTATTTTGAGCACTGGACCAATTTGCATGAAAATCATTACCTCAATAAAATATTAATTTTTTACTAATTTTAATGTTTTATTTTACATGTGTAATTATAGTATATTCATATTTTGGTTTTATATTTATTTTCAATTTACTTAATCACACTTAGTAATCATTTATTCAATACAGTAGAGCCCATTTTGCTTTTTTTAAGTTCCATTACCAACATTTCTTTAGTTATCCTAGTTTCATCCATACTTTAAAAATATCACATTTTTAAATTGTATGTTTTTTGTTTTTTTGTTTTTAGTACAGGGTTTACAGGGTCTCACTACACAGATTAGACTAATAGTGATCCTGTTTTCAGCTTCCCAAGTCCTAGGATTACAGGCGTGTGCCACTATGCCCAGTCTCATTCATGTGCTGGGGGTGAGGCCGGCACAGCATACAGGGGATCAAACCTCTGGCCACCTACTGCATCTGCCAAAGCAGGCGCTTTAATCTGCTGAGCTGTCTGGAGGCCCTTGTATGCTATTTTGAATAGCATGTTAAAATCTCATGCTCTTCTGTGCTATCCTACCCCAAACAAGAATCATCCCTTCTGCAGCATACCCACTCAGAAGCCCTGGACATGATCGAGTGAACTGTCTGAGGGCTGTAGTGTTTATATTCAAAGAAGCCTTATTTTACTTAATGAAAGTTCTGCAGTGCAAGAAAAATGATTTCAGTAAATCGATATGCCAAAGAGAAGTTCTAAAGTGCTTCAAGTGAAAAGCTCAAAGCCAAAGCTCTCAATAAGAAAGATTTTTTTAAAAAAAATTACACATGGAACTTGCTAAGATCTTCAGTGAGGACAAATCTACCTGTGAAATTGTGAAGGAAGAAATTTGTGCTAGTTTTGCTGTCATGCTTCAAACTACAAATATGTGTGACAACTACTCACTTCCCATAATCTTATCAACTAGGCATTGTCATTTTATATTGTCATAAAAATTTGAGTGAAGTAATGGGTGTGATGGCACAACCTGTAACCCCAGAACTCTGGGAGGCTGAGGCAGGAGGATCACATGTCTGAGTTCCACCTGGCAAAGGAAGCAAGATGTTGTTTCAAAAAATTAAAAGAGCTGGGGATGTAGCTCAGTGTTGCAGTCCAGGATCCAACACTGCAGAGAGAGAGAGAGAGAGAGAGAGAGAGAGAGAGAGAGAGAGAACAATATTTTGAAAGATACATTCACATCTTTAATTATAATATAGTGTTACAATTGTCCTATTTTATTATTGGTGTTGTTGATCTCTTAATCTTCTTAATTCATAAATTAAACTTTATCCTAGTTATATATTTATAGGAAAAATCCTAGTATACAGGTTTCAGCACTATCTACATTCTAGGCATCCATTGGTAGTCTTGCAGTGTATTCCCTACAGATAAGGGAGGACTACAGTACTTCCTGTGTTTGAGAAAGTACTCAACCTCTTGAGGCAAGAGGTTGTGAAATCAAAGACAATTAACATAGAGTTTCTGCCTTCAGAGAATTTAGGGTATAGTGGCATATGCCTGGAATTCCAGGACTCTTGGGAGGCTCAAGTAGGAAGAACACGGATTGCAGCCCAGCCTGACCAACTCAGGGCCTATCTCAAAAAGTAAAAAATAGGTTGAGGATGTAGCTCTGTGTGAAGGCTCTGGATTCAATCGTCAGTATGGAGTTGGGGGGCTTACTTGAGGTATGGTATAGAGGGTAGAAATAAGTCCTTAGGTCAATGAACAGGGCAAACTGGTTAAGTGGTATTTATCATGCAAAATATAATGGGACAGAAAGGACTGCCCCCTAGGGCCTTAGGGAAGCTTGGGATGAATCTCAAAGGTTCATCAGAGGCACTGTAGTAAAGGCAGAAAAGCAGAAAGAAGAGAAAACAAGGCAGAATGGAAATCTTCAGCATCTGCAATCAAACTCCACCTGTATCAAATAACTTGGTGTAGGGGGCCAACCTAAAAGCTTGTACCTGACCAAGGGGCGACAAAGATGAAACACAAAGACAGAAAATTAAGTTAAAATTCTTTGGGGGAGGACTCTTATCTCGCTTCAACAAAGAGCCCCAAAGGGGGACTCTTATCTCTCTTCAGCAAAGAGCCAAATGATCACCTCAGCTTTATTCACTCATGCAAACACAACCTATCAGTAAAATAGGATCCATCTGTCTCCCACCATCCACCTGCATATCCAAGTAAACGATAGGATCTCAGCTGCTTTCACTTATCCCTGTAGCACTTGAGCATACACTCTCGCTGCCTTTCTCCCTGGTGTTCACAGAAGAAGATAGTTAGGCCTTCCTTGGTCTCCCACAAATTGGAGTAAAAAAAAATACAAATTAAAAAATAACTTAGTATCACTTTTGAACTGATAATTTAAAACATTTATAAAGATGGTAGAATGTGAATGTCTTAGTTTTTTTTCTCATTACAGAAAAAAAAAACACCCAACACCCACAAGTTAAGGGAGGAAAGGTTTATACAGCTTAGTTTGTGGAGGTTTCAGTCCATAATCAGCTGACTCCAAGGCAGGTGGCATGGCGGAGGGGTATTGCAGAGAACAAGTCCATGGCAAGCAGGAGACAGCAAAGGCAAGCATGGCAGAAGACAAGCCTTTTTCTGTCCTAGTTTGTATCCAGGATACCAGGACGAGGGCAATGCCAAACCCATCAATGTACTGATTTAGTAATCACCCCTCCAATCCCCAGATCACTCACTCCAGACTCAACCACCTCTGAAAAAGCCCCACCTATGATTACATGAAGCTTTGGGGGGGGGGGCATCCAGACCTGAACCATAAGAATGAATGATAGAATTTTTTCTAGTGGGCATTTTAAATGAAAATTCTTTCAGACAGACAGTGAGCTTAAGCTCAACTGCCTATGTTGTAGGGTAATAATATTAAGTTTTTCTTTTGGAGGGTTAACAACTTAAGGTTGTAGACCAAAAAATAGAGAAAAAGAAGAGTTGCAAGGACATCCAACATTTTGACCCTAGCCTTTCAAGGTCAGTTAGGACTCAGGACATAGGAGAACCTGTACTGTAACATTCTGTAACTCAGTTGTGTCCCAAATTTACTGAACAAGGAAATTATGGAGCCACAGAGGAAAGTGATCGATGATGTAGAGAGTGCCTAAGGAGAGTCACATGGAGAGAAAACATTCTCTCAGGCTTTCACAGAGCACACATTGGCCAAGCAATGGCCATGACTTATCCACATGGCTGACACTGACAAAGGATCTACAAACTGTGGTACAGGGTTTCAGGGTAAATCCTGAGGGGATCTGACTGACCTTGTTAGATACAAAAGTTACATTTCTTTCCTTTTTTTTTTTTTTTTGGCGGAACCGGGGATTGAACTCAGGCCCTTGCACTTGCCAGAGAAGCACTTATTCCACTGAGCCATCTCCCCGGCCCCATATATTTCTTGTCATATAGGTCTTGCTTTATCTTGGCCTTAACCATCTAGCAGAAAAGTATAATAAAGAGGGTATGAAAAATAAAGCCATGTTACTGTGCTGGGCTGTAAAAGGCTCAAGTCATCAACTTCTGACATTGCCAGTCCTATGGAAAACTCACTACTATTATGGACTACTGGACTGTATTGGATTATTTTGCTTAATTCACGCACCTACAATATTTAAATGACAATGGAATACCCATCTCTGACAAAACTAAACAAAAAAGGGGGCTACAAATGAAGGACCATTTTGTATCTGTATAAACAAAATAGTTAAGCTAGATATACAGCTACTTTCTCTTAAATCAATGAGAAGAAAGATTTGTACTAAAACAATCAAGGTTAGGGCCAGGGAGATGGCTCAATAGAATAAGGGCTTGCCTGGCAAGTGCAAGGGCCTGAGTTCAATCCCCAGTTGAAAAGAGTGCTTGTGAATCCCGAGCCTCCAAGTCTCTCCACTCCTAAAAGGCCATCTTGTCTTTCAGCAGAATGGGGATGAGACTATGTGCCTCTCTGGATTACTATGTGAGTTAATTTAAATGAGCATAAAGCTCCTGCTACGTGGTGGCCACACAACACTCAGAAGCTATTAAATAACTCCATGTAGGTCACACAGTGAAGGCAGGAGTCAAAGTGTAGATGTCAACTTCTTGTTCCTGAGAACACACAGTTCAAAAAGCTTTTTTTTCTTGGGTGGTGGTGGGTAATAGGAATTGAACTCAGGACCTCACACTTGCCAGGTAGGTACTGTGCCACTGAGCTAAATCTCAGATCCCCAAAAAGCTTTTCTTGAAGGATAAAGCAGGAGGACTGCAAATTTGAGGCCAGCTTGGAATAGAAGAACAAAAGTCAAGAGCGAAATTATAGATAATGGGCAATAGGGAGATAGATCTTTGGCAAGTAAAGGGACCATGGGAAGGAAAGAGGGCGTCAGAGGAGGAGAAAAGGGAGGTGAAAGAGACGTAAAGCACTTATTCTACTGAGCTATCTCCCCGGCCCCTCTGTTGGTCTTTTGAAAGGAGCAGTTAATGCTTAAAACGCCTGCAAGCCGACACAGGGGCTGGGGGTTCGATCCTTCAGCCCGCCGTGCAGGACACCCCCCCACCCCCCGGGGAGTGCTGAGACGTGATTGACTGGACGTGGTGGCGTGAGCCTGTAATCCCAGCTCTTGGGACGCTGTAAACAGGCAAATCACTATGAGACCCTGAACACCCTGTAGACCCTTACCTAAACTATAAATAAATAAATAAATAAATAAATGCTTTAAGAACACATCTGACATTTAAAAGGGGGGAGGGTGCAGGGAGATAGCTCAGTAGAATAAGTGCCTGCTTGGTAAACATAAGGTCCAGAGTTCAATCCCCTGTACCGCAAATAAATAAATACAGCAACTATTGCTGAATTCCTATTACCTTGTTTAGTGAAAATTTGCACCTTTTCTAATGCTGTTTTTTAAACGACTATTTTGTTTTCTTTTTTAAAAAAGTGTCATGACCCACAAAGAACGTATTATGTACCAAAAGTACGTGCTAAGAGGATTTAAACAAAAAAATTAAAGCAAACTTTTTGGCTTCAATTCGTAACACACACTCAGTATGAGACTTCCTTTCTGCCTCCCGAAGTTCACGTCAGAGATCAGGGAACACAAGTTTAGAAAGGGAGGAACTTTAAGACGCTGTAAATAAACGGGCGTGGTGGCGCACGCCTGTCAATTTAGCAATCGGGAGGCTGAGGTAAGAAAGTCGTTGCGAGTTCTAGGCCAGCCCAAGCTACAGAGACCCTAACTCAAAAGACGATGAAAAAGAAAAAGGAAACGTAAATCCTGCCTGCAACACCCTTTCCGCTTTCAAGTCTCGCGGCCGCAAATTCCGCACTAGTGTGACGCTTGTATTCCTGCGCCGGAAGTGCGCCTGGGGTGTGCGACGCACAAGTGGCGGCGCCAGTGGGTAGAGCCTGTGGGTAGAACCTGTGGGTGCGTGCGTGAAGCTAGCGACAAGGGTACCTTTCGGCGAAAGCACCCCTACAGCTTTAAAAAGCAGCAGCTGCCATGACGGCTCAGGCGGGGCTGGTAGCCAACCGAGGGCGACGGTTCAAGTGGGCCATTGAGCTGAGCGGGCCTGGAGGCGGCAGCAGGTAAGCGCCCGGCTGAGGCGCGACGTCAGAGCCCTCACCCCAGAACGGCTCCGGAGTAATGAACCTGAGCTTCTGGCGCAAGTCTGCAAAGGCTGGGCGGTGCCAGACGTCACCGGGGGAGGAGGAAGCTCTTCTGTCACGGAGGGTACTTTTCTCTATGGATGCTTCTTTCGGTCCTCCACAATAGAGAAGGGATTGGCCGAACCACGAGATAGCTTGCCCTAATCTGGGTAGGCGCGTCTGAAGATCTTTATTTTTATGAGCAGAAAATGTGGGATATAAAGTTTGAAAAGTTGTGTCTTGTTTGGTTCTTCATTCAGAGGCCGAAGTGACCGGGGCAGTGGCCAGGGAGACTCACTGTACCCAGTCGGTTATTTGGACAAACAAGTGCCTGATACCAGTGTGCAGGAGACAGACCGGATCCTGGTGGAGAAGGTACAGAGAAATAGATGTTACCGTCGACCTTGCAGTCCTGATCCGCGCGCCTCTCCCAGCGACCTGTAGATAGTCTTTAAACTTAATTTCTAGGAGCTTAAACTGCCTTACTATTTTACATTAGTTTACATATCAGCGCAAGAAGTGCTTAATAATTGGAAAAATAAAAGAGGCTTGTAACATAAGGTATGAAGAAGTAGGTTGAAGATGACCTTCCAGCAGAAATTCTTTTCAAGTTCCTTCATACCACATTTTCAGTCTGTCAGGTCATTCTGCTGGTTTTACCTTTAAAATAGATCCCAAATCCTATTACTATTTCAGACTGATCACCTATCATCCTGGTACCTGTCATCCAGCTACCATCCCCCACCAAGATTTTTGCAATAAATGTTTATAAATTATATAAATTCGTTTGAGGTATAGTTTGTGTATTCAACTAACACATGTTGTTTTAACCTCATTGTTGACATTTGAGGGCATGTTTAGTGACCCTGCACTTTACCCATTTGATGCCAACAGTATCCTTTCCTAGTTGTGAGAAGCAAAAATATTTTGTCTTATGTTTCTCAGGAGGCAGATTGCTGTCAGCTATGATGGCGAACCATTTAGAGGTGGAGTACCTGAACTGCAACCCCAAACCTACTTACTTTTTGCAAAGTGCTCAAAATGCAATTTCTTTTTGTTTAGTTTTTTGAGATGGTCTCACTATGTAGTTTAGGCTGGTCTTGAACTCAACTGTGTAGCCTAGGCTGGGCTCAAACTCCCAGTGAAGCTCCTGCTTCAGCTTCCTGAGTGCTGGGGTTCCAGGCATGTATAGCAATTAAACGTGAATATTCACTGCTCCACTGCTGGGGCCATCCTTGAGTGACTTGGCTTGTGTGTCGACAGAGAAGGCTCTTTGCACCCAACATCTTTTGGCTCCCATCTTATCTCAGGTTTTGTATTTGTTCTTCCTTGTTCCTGAAATGCTCTGCCTTAATTTAAATACCTGCATGACTTGTTTGTGCATCTCCTTTGGGTCTCAAATGTTGTAGTGAAGCGTACTTCATGGCATTCTCTTTTGACCTATTTTATATCTCTCTATTGTTTATACATGATAGCAATGTAGTATATATTCTATTTATTGTTCATCTGCTTTCTCTGTTTTGTCTACTCCATAAGATCAGGCTTTTTGATGTATCTGGAGTTCCTAGAATGGTGCTTGGCACTTTTTCCTTTTTGCAGTTCTCTGTCAGCATTAACATTGCACGGTGCTATGTGATCTTTGTTTCATGGAGTACAAGTGATCATGAAAAGGACAAAGCAACCTCAATCCTTTCCTTACTCTTTCCTTTTTGGTACTGGAGATTGAACCCACGGCCATTGTGCTGAGCTACATCTCCAGTTCCTTTTTTTTTGAGACAGGGTCTTACTAAGTTGCCCGGGCTGGGCTCAAGCTTTCTATCTTCCTGCCTCAGCCTCCCAGAATGTTGAGACTGCAGGGATGCACCACCACATCCAGCTTCAATTTTTCTCTTTATAAGTATTATAATTTTTCACCTTGGCACATCAGTGTAATGTGAATACATGCAACCAAATAAAATGACCTAATTTTAAAAGTATATTATCATAAAACACAGCTTTTACAAGTTTGTTGTAAGTAAACTGAGTAACAGTGGTGTTATTTTTTTATATAGTTACACTTTATATAAAACTGCTGGGTTCAGATTCATGGGTGAGACTGACCTGTAAACATTTTCTGATAATATCCTTAAGTTTTGGTATTTGAGGCCCTATATAATAAATTGTAATTTTTATTTCCCAGAACTTTTGTAAGATTAGCTTCATTTTGATCTTAAATATTTAGAATTTGCCAAGGGAAGCTATTTGGACTTAATATATATTCAGTTCCTTTACTATTACTGAACTGCTTTTGTTTGTAATTCCTTATCACATTTTGGTAATAAGTATTTTTTCCTTAGGAATTTATGTATTTTCTAAAATTTTAAATGTATAAGGTGCAGAATATGTTCAGTGCAAGATCTATAAAGATGTCCATTTTTTTCATTTTCTGAGGTGGGGGGTGGGACAGGGTCACACTGTGTAGTTCAGGATGGTCTTAAATTTATAGCATTTCTGCCTCAGCCTCCTGAGTTCTGGGATTACAGGTATGTACCACCATGCCCAGCTTCCTTCCTCATTTTAAATAGTTGTCTTTTTTCATCAGGCTTGCTAGTATTGATTTTATAGTTTTTCAAAATGATAGCTTTGACTCTGATTTTATTTCATTAATTTCAAATCTTTTACTATCTTTGCAAAATCCTGTTTTTAATAGCTTCTTTAAAAGAATGAATTTGCAATCTTCTAATGCATATGTAAGATTATAAATTTTCTCATAGTTCTAGCCATATCCCACAAATTTTAATGTGGCATTTTCCCAGTTACCAGTTTTAACGTGCATTCTTGTTACTTTCTATTTGTAATTCCTTTGATTCAAGGATTAGAGCACATTTGTTAACTTCCAAAAACAGGATTTTCTATCTTTTATTGATTTCTAGTTTAATTGCACCGTAGTCAAATAATACTTCTGTACTTTGAGTTCTGTGAAATTTGTTTTCTATATGGTTCAGCAAGTGTGCAGTTTTTCTGTTTGATATGTTTGAAAAGTGTACTGTGCAGTTATTGGGTACAGGGTTATATTATTCAAACTTTCTGTGTCTCGATTTGTTTCTTCTACTAGTTATGGAGGTGTGCTAATTTCCAAGTGTGTGAATTTATCTTTTCCTTCAGTTGTAGAATGGACAGTGATAGTACAGAAGTATGAGGACAAACGTAGAGAAATATTTTTTTTTAGCTAAAACTGTACGAAAGAAAATGACACGGAAAATCTCTAGGGAAAGTCTCTTTAGTAAAAGATTCCTATGGTGACTGGAAGAGGTGTAATCAAGGAATGTGCTCTGTCAGAAGCAAGGTATTGGGAATTCTGTTTGTTTGACCTTAGCATCAGTAGCATCAGAGACACAGTAAATATGGGCCTGGGGGTAGTGATGATGTTAAAGCTGTGTTGGGGAGATGGCTCAGAAGCATAGGTGCTTGCCTGGCAAGCGCAAGGGCCTGAGTTCAATCCCGAGTTGTTTTTTTTTTTTTTTTTTTTTTTTTTTTGTGGAACCGGGGATTGAACTCAGGGCCTTGGGCTTGCCAGGGAAGCGCTTATTCCACTGAGCCATCTCCCCGGCCCCTTTCAATCCCCAGTTCTGCCAAAAAAAAAAAAAAAGAATCTACAAAATAAAAAATAAAGTTGTGTGTTTGTTTCAGCGCTGCTGGGATATTGCCTTGGGTCCTCTCAAACAGATTCCTATGAACCTCTTCATCATGTATATGGCAGGCAATACTATCTCCATCTTCCCTACTATGATGGTGTGTATGATGGCCTGGCGACCCATTCAGGCACTTATGGCCATTTCAGCCAGTAAGTATTCTTGCAGTAACTTTTCCCCAAGTCTTAAGAACTAAAGATAAGACCAGGGATATAGCTCAGTGGCACAAGTACCTGCCTGACAAGCACAAGGCTCTGAGTCAATTTCCAGTACCCACACAAAGGGAGGGAATGGGGCTGAGGCAGGAGGATTGTTGCAAGTTTGAGACCAGCCTGAGCTACAAAGTGAGTTCATGGGCAGCCTGAACTGCACAGCAGGACCCTGTCTCCAAAAGACAAAAAAAAAAAAAAAAAAAAAATTTACTAATGACAAATTCTTAGGCATTATTCTTGGTGAGTATATAGGGTGGTGATAGTACTGCTGGTAGCACTGAGGGGAAAACAATGCTCATGATCATTTTTCTTTTTTTTTCCTTTAGTGGTCTCAATTGCTTGCTTTGGGTCTGTATTAATATATAGTCACTTGATTCATATTGGGGGGAAAATTTGGGTATTGACAGCTTCTGTTACTCCAACAGCTTTCAAGATGCTAGAAAGCTCAAGCCAGAAGTTTCTTCAGGGTTTGGTCTATCTCATTGGTAACCTAATGGGTTTGGCATTGGCTGTTTACAAGTGCCAGTCCATGGGACTCTTGCCTACACATGCATCAGACTGGCTAGCCTTCATTGAGCCCCCTGAGGTAAGGCAAAAGAAAAGCTTAATTTATGGCAGTCTAATGTGCAGTGAATGGCTGACTCATTTAATGGTAGGAGATTACAGTTTGTATCACAGTAATAAGTCTTAACTAATAAAAGCTATTGAAGAGTTAAAAGTTCTTGGTGTTTGTTTTAGATAAGGCAAAGTAGTACTTGTAACCTAGAACATTAAGAAACAGATTCAAAGTATTACTTCAACATTTACTTGCCCCTCACCTAATAACTATTCCTTCTTTCAGAGGATGGAGTTCAGTGGTGGAGGACTGCTTCTGTGAACTGGAGGAAGCAGCACTCAGGGAGGGCCTAAGTATCTGGGTTTCATTTACTGCCTCCTTCAGCCCAGTGACTCCTAAGTAAAGAAGCAGTCATCATTGAAAAGAACCAAAAAGATCTCCTTTCTGCATGGTAAGGAGTCAGAGCCTAGAAGGACAATGTGCGTTTTGTTACAAACTGAAGAAATTATACCACAACCCCTGACTGAAAATAATGTAGAAAAGTTTATTTATGTTTCCAGTACAGAGCAGAACAACAAATAAAACCAGAACTGCATGTAAACAAAAGAATGGTGGCTGCTAAATCAAGAATCATAGCAGCATCTCTTTTCAATAAATTAAATGGTTGAGAACAATGCTTTAAATCGTTTCATAAGTTTCCCTTAAATCTATTTTCCTTTTGCTTAACACAAAGTAGGACATAAAAATTCTGCTGGAGACACTTGGAGATTGAGAAACTCATGCTGATTCAAATTATACATGATGAAAAGAAACCAGAAAAAAGTGTACATAAATATGCTTACAGCATTAATACCCACAATAAGGAATTTTTAACATGTATGGATGGGGGAGTGAGGACTGGTGGAATCCTTGAGGCTACAAGAAATTGGAGGCAATAAAGATAAAGGAGTGGTGATCTTCTCACTGCCAACAGGAACCTAGCACCTGTTGAGCAGAAACTATAGTTCAGACTCTAGCTTTTAAGATAAGCAGTCACATTCCAGAACGCAAAAGGCCTGCAGTGTGTAATTATTATCTGCCCTGCTAAAGTCATAGGTAAGACTTAAAAGCTGAGTCTTTTTCAAAAGATGGGAAAATCTTTATCTTCCCTCTTAAAACAAAAAGCCCCTTCCCCTAAGGTGCACTCTCAAGTTTTCAGTATTGCTTTATTTGCAGTGATTAAAGAGACAAGACACTTTGCAGACAAACAACAAGCAACAATAAACATGAAATGCTCTAGACAAAGATGAGTATAAATCTGGCCTAATAACCATTTTTCCATGTAACAGTGATTTTCCATTTTCAGAACTGGAATTGTGGCTCTGTTAATAGCCATCAATTTCTTTATCTCTTTAAAAGACTTCGTATAGAGCTCCAACCATAAATAACACAATAGAAGTGTGTTATTTAATAGAAGTGTGTTATTTCTAGTTAATAGAAAACCTGTTTTCTCCCCATACTTATCCTAGATGAAAATAGTATGTAGCACTTTAGCCAGGGCCTAAAGAATTCCTGGGCAGGCTGACTTTAAAAGTATGGATCTTGAAGATGTTGGTCAGCACATATATATAACTCAACTGACAATGGAGTGTTACAAGGGGAATTGTAAACAAACAAACTTTCTGCCTTCTGCAGGAAGGACCAGGAAAAAAGATCTTGTCTAGGTTGCTACAATGAATGGGCCTGGAGGGTGAAAGACCAAAAGAAAGAAATCAAAATGACTCATTTCCTTAAGCTACACTGAAGAGTTTTGGTTTTTTTTTCTCTGTCCTTGTGGGTGAGATACTACCCGTGACAAAAGAGTCCGCTTGTTGCATTTCTGTTAGGTAATCAAAGAGTGGTACTTATTTATCATTAATAAAGTGAAACTTAAAAGCAGCCATTAATACAGGCAAGAAAATGGTTTCTTAAATCCTATCTTGGAAGGAAATGGAGATTTCACATACTCAAAATTATTGCTCAGCCCCACCAGAAGTTTCCCTGTGCTTGTAAGCCATGTGTTCTGTAATAAATCAGTAAATGATAAGTTGAACTTGTTCAGTTATTTCCTTGGCACATTTAGAGCTTTCTGAAAAAAAAAAAAAAAACAAAAAACATGAAATAGCAAAAACCCACTGGCCTGGATAATTTCAGTTTAGAGCCAAGTTTCTACAGACAGATTAAATCATAAAAATCAAAAAGAAAAGGAGAATACTCTTGAAGCCTTAATTATGGCTTCTGGAGATGAGCCATAGGTTTCTTAGCAAAGAAAATTTGGAGTTGATCCAATGCCAGTCTGTATGCTACTTTAAGTAGATAGGGAGAGTAGCAGCTCAAGCACTTTGGCACCATGCAAGAGTATGGCTCTAGAACTTTCAATTTAAAGCTGAATTTCCCCTTTAAAAGATGGTCCAAAGCCTTTAGAGAATGATTTCAGCTATCCATCCTACTGTTTTTCATGTTTGTTTGACCTGTGTCTTGTAAATCATAAAAAGGAGACCCTGTTGGTTAATGTATATCCTGACCTGTATTTCTTACGTAACAGCTTGTATGTTCAGTGTTTGTCATAAAGATACCAGACTATACTTCAGTAAATCTTATAGCTATTCTTTGAAAATCCCTTATTCCAACCATATAAAAAGAAACAGTTGCCATGGTAAAATTGCCTGTGTTATAACCCCAGAGTGGATTTTGAGTTGACAGAAACAAACAGCTGAAATATATACTGATATAACATAGATACTTAAACCTGGTGTTTTGGGAGAATTTTGAGGAAAAAGTAGAATCTGCAACCAATATTTAATGCTGGATATGTACTTGTTTTTTGTCTTTAGGTGAATTTCTAGCATCCCTTTTACCATTTCACCAACTTCAGTGGTATGCTCAAGGGCTTCCCACTTGTTGACTTAGCTTGGTAATCCTAACTTGTCTTCTACTGGTAAGGAAATGGCTTTTATGATTTGTTCATTCTTTTGATGCTGAGGGAATAACCTGCTGCTTCTGTTAAGATCATTTAGGAGCCAAGAACACATCTATTTGTACTCTTGCACAAGGCCTTGAGGCCAGCTCATCTTGTGTGATGGGTGTAAAACACAGGCCTGTACAGTGGGAGCAATAGGAAAGGGCTGTCACTTCAATGGAGGATGGAAAGCCATTTAGGAAAAAGTGAAACCAAGTAGAGTCACTTAGACTAGGTTATGAATAAATGGTGATCACTTCACTGCCACCACCCCGGACAAGGAGAACTCGTTCAAGTCCCTCAGTGAGCACTTCTAGGAATTCCATGTCTTCAGAATTTGTCAAGGAAACATAGGCAGAAGGAAGAATACACTTTACAGTCTGGCATCATCATAATCTTGAGTTTACCTGCTCACAAAACAGCAAAATCATCATGCTTCTCAATAATTATTTACAGACTCACAAAGTCAGAAATTTAGATTTATTCTAACCCAGTAAAAGAATCTAGAGATCTAGTTTCTGCATATGCATTAAAAACTTGTTAGATATTTTTTAAGTGTTTCTAAGAAATAGGAAAACTCGTAATATATTATTCTAAATAATGAAACGCAAAAGAAGTCATAATAGAGCAGTTTATAAGACCCCTTAGAGAACATGTAAGTAATGTGTAAGTGAAGCTGCTTGTCAGACTTTCCATTGTTTTCATTGTGTGTGTGTGTGTGTGTGTGTGTGTGTGTGGCCAGCTCAGCCCACCAGGGGGCGAGGCTGGCTGGCATGTGGTGCTGGGGGATTGAACCATGGTCCCTGTGCTTTGCTAGGCTTGTTTTTTTTAAGTAGGTGCTTTAGACCACTGAGCCATCCCTCCAGCCCCCGTTGTTTTCATTTTTAAAACTTTTCCGGGCTGGTGAGATGGCTCAGTGGTCCAAAGCACCTACTTAGAACAAGCTTAGCTTAGCAAAGCACAGGGACTGTGGTTCAATCCCCCAGCACCACATGCCAGCCAGCCACTCCCCCTGGCGGGCTGAGCTGGCCACACACACACACACACACACACACACACACACACACAAAATTAAAAAAATAAAAAAACTTTTCCTTAACGACTGGTCAGAATGGACCAGTCTATATTGTTACAGTAAAGGGCTCCCATAAAAATGATCTTCAGATGCGAGTATGAACAATCCCTAAGTGTTTTTTCCTAACTTCTCCCCTACCTCCATCCAGAAGAGGTGTTACAGAATGTGTAGAACCTGAAAAGGATAAAGGATGTAGGTGTTTTGTCTCTAGGACTTTGGCTGAAAATTAGAAGTCTAGTTGCAAAATGCCACCCAAAAAGGACTTCTTAAAGATCTGAGAGAACGTAATATACCTCCAACTTCCTAAAAGGAGATTAACCAACCTTACAGATTTGTAAAAATCTGCCTGAGACTTTAAAATCTTCTTCAAAGAGGGAAACTAGGGCACAAATGATGACTTAAACTTACCTAGTTGTCTCGCCTAAGAAATAAGCTAAGAAGATTCCCCTACTCCTGGATCTACTCAGAAAGGATACAGTTTTCATCACCTTCAGGGTTTCGGGGTGGTCCTGGCATGTTCAACAAAACCAGCTTTGCTTCATGGGACTTGTTTACTATAACTTCATTGAGCTTTACTGCTGTATGCATCCGTCTTACATTAGACTGGTCCCTGGATGGGGAAGGCACAGAGGTAATAAAGGAAAAAAGAGAACTATAATCATAGTAAATCTTAAAAACTTAATAATCAGAGCTTTTTTCCTTTGACTATGATATAATAAAGTAATTTATGATATTAATATCCTCTGAGTTTTCATTGTGCATTTGCTTGTTTTATAATAAGCACACAGTATGAAGTATATGGAGAGAGAGAAGATAGCTTGTGTACAGTTTTCACTGGGAATGGGTTCAATTAAGGTGAAATGGTCAGACTCCATTCTGTGTCTTCAGGTAAAGTCATATGTATGCCAGTGAGTAGGATACTACATTCTGCGGGAAAACTTACGGACGCATGTTAAGGAGGTCCTGGAATCCTTCCATTGACTTGGCCTTTTGTCCCCTGGAAGCCATGTACTTGTCCTTTGTCCAAGTCATGTGTACCTTCTCTTGATAGGTTTCTGTCTCTTCATCCTCATCAGAACCAATGCTGGTCAATCGTAGCATTGAGTTCCGGTCTTTCACCAATTGTGCCTAAGGAAGGTCCAACACAGTTTTCTTAACTAATTTTCTTATGCATCATCTACTTTGAAACCACAATGAAGTTATATTGGGATAACCGATAAAATGAAAAGGAAAAAATTTATCATTTTGTGAATAAAATATAGTATCATCCCTTTTGCTAACAGAGCCAGGATTAGATAGACTGGTCCAGCAAAGTCTCACCTCTCTGTCTCGTTCCGTTTTGGAGAGCCGCATGTGCCGGAGCATCTGGGACCTCTGCTCCATCATCAGAGTACGCTCATAAGTATAAGCTGATATGTCACTGTCATGCTGTCATCACACAATGTGGGCAGAAAAGCACAAAAAGCGTATTTTTTCTTTCTAGTCACTAACTTAAATCAGAAAAGAAGTATAATAATACCAACCCTAACTTCCCATGGCTATTTTGTTCAGTCTTTGAGTTATATATATAAACATAATTTTGGGGTTAAAGATCAAATCCAGAGGCTTTTTAATCATTAACCATTATATGTGTTTCCTTGAAACACAAAGTTTAGTTTTTTTCACACGTGAGTTCAATCATGAATTAATATATATAAAGGAAGTAAGGATCTAGCTTAAATATAAAAGCTGTGTAGTAAGAAAGCAAAGCCACTACACCAAACACTTTCATGCATTCTACTTATCTAGGTCAACAGATTAGGATTTTGTTGCAACACTAGGATTAATCTATATTGACAGAACCAATTCCCAAAGTAGGAAAGGCTCTAGAAGACAGTGTGGGGGTTGTCTCATCAGTCTACTTTCTCACCATTTCTACCACTTCCACTTCTGCCTCAATGCGCAAGTGATACAGGAAGGTGGCCAGGTCTTTCTTCATCTGAATACTGTTGTCTTCTAATTGGGCTACTGTGAAGATTCGTATGCTGCATTTTCGCCACACCTAACAAGTACCACATGTATATGGAAAATTAGATCCAGCAACAAAAAAAGTTACTTCTAAAAACAAGGCATTTTGGCCTAGAACAACCTTCCTATAGCATACAGGTATTTTTTTCCTAGCTTCCTGCTTATTTCATTATCAAAGCACAAAATTTAATGTATTATGGCAAAAGATTTATGGAATAACATTAAATGCAGTTTTAAGGCATTAATTTTTTTTTTTTGAGGAACCAGCAATTGAACTCAGGGCCTTGCGCTTGCCAGGCAAGTGCTTATTCTACTGAGCTATCTCCCCAGCCCCCATTCTTAATTTTGTAACAAAGAAACTGGCAGAAAGGGAAAAATGGCTTGTGTGATGAGATATAATTGGTCATCATCCCCATTCCCTGGACTTCAATGCCTAAAACCCTTGGGATCTTCAAGTGATGATGTTTTCTTTGCTAATGAGTTGGCCCACAGCTAGCAATCCCTACATACATAGCTTGAGGATGGGTGCTGGTCACTGTAAAGCCTCAGCATAACCCCCAGCAAAAGGGCTGAAAAGTAAGTAGATCGCTGGTGACAACAGATTTAATCACTGCTATGGAATACAGCTTTCATAAAAACCCTACAGGCCAGGCCAGAAAGCTTCTGGACAACTGAACATGTGATGTTTCCTGTAGCAACCAAAAAGAGCATGGGAACTTTGTGCTTCTTCCCAATGCACTATCCTATGAATATCCTCATCTGTATCATTTGTAGTATTTTTTTAAAGAGAATTTTTAAAAAAACAATAAAAACTAATAGTCTGTAAAACAAACAGTAAATACAAGAATATGTTTTCTCAGTTCCGTAAACTTTTCTGGCAAATTAATCCAACCTAAGGACAGGGTCATGGGAACCTTGGTTCCTCAGCAGATCAGCAGAGGCTTGAAACCAGCATTGTAAGAGGGAAAGTGGCCTTCTGGGACTGAACCTTCAACCTGGAAATACAATGCTACCTCTATGTAAACAGTGTCAGAACTGAATTAGAAGAGGATACCTAGCTGTTCTACACTGCAGATAACTGCTTGCTAGTCAGATAGTACATTAATGGCACCATGCATACTATTTAGTCTTACCAGAGAATGAGCAGATACATGTATAACCTACACACATGTACCCCTTAGTCTTCCTATAACAGAGGTTTTTTTTTTTCAAGATGTGTTCAACTGTTACTTTATTTACCGAGGGCTTATCTGTTACTTTATTTGCTGAATTTCACTTGGAGTTAGCTTGGTATCAAATACAAAGAAATCTTTTCCCATAAAGTTGAAACTAGGATCATGGGAGGACCAAGCACAATCCCTACTTCTCAGATTCTAAAACCTAACACTATATAGTCAAAGAAAAATTATGCGTCTAGTGAACCATAGACCAGATGGAAGGAAAACAACTTTAAAAGTTGTTAGGGAGGTAGCTTAGTGATTTAAGTGGCTGCCTGGCAAGCACAAGGACAGGGGTTTGATCTCTGATACCACCTGCCATGCTGGCCACTGAGACTGGGTATGGTAGCTTATGCCTATAATCCCAGCACTAGGGAGGCTGAGACAGGAGGATCACTATGAGTTTGAACTGCATAGTGTGACCCTGTATCTAGTAAATAAATAAAATTTTTTTAAAAAAATTAAGTTGTCTAGAGTCTGCACCAGAGTCTATCTGGGGGACTGCGGCAGGTATTACCCAGGTGGCTATGGAAGGACCCCAAGAGGCCCTGCCTTTTCCAGACAATCTGAGGACCTACTTTACAGCTACTTTGCTGCAGTAGCTGGGCTGGTTGGACAGAAAGACACTAACAGAGTCTAATAAAATGAAATTTTAAAACAGACACTGAAAACTGAAGACTGTCAGGCATTGGTGGAGAATAAAAACTTGTTAATCAGTTTCAATTCTGGATAAAGATGTGTTTTGCACAATGGGGTTCAACCAGTTGAAAGAACTGTGGGACATATGAATGGCTGGAGACAAGATTTCATCTTTTTTGATGGGGATAGGAGTGGAACAATAGACCTCAAGAATTTTAGGAGTTTTGGCTTGGCTCCTCAAACTGAATATTGCAAAATGGTATGGTATCAATGGAACAATCACCTTTGATGACTTACCACATCCTTTGTCAAACTGAAGGCTTTTAAAGATAGCTTTTGAAGACAGAATTTTGGTCAGCAAGGCATTGTGAATGTCTCATATGTTGATTTCATTATGTCACATGTTTATGCTTTTAATAATTACAACAGGAATACTGAAATGGGTACTTCAAAATGTTGATCAGGTCATCATTGAGACAGGGTCATGTGCTTGTCTCCTTCTTACCAGTTTCCCAAATATTCTCTAATGAGCAGGATACATACATATATATATATATATATATATATATATATATATATGAATTTTTTAAAGGGCTTTCAGTAAGATCTACATTCTGATGCTGCCTGCACTTATGTGTGGTGTGGTCATTTTAGATAACTTCAAGTATCTGTTATCCTGTATTTGAGAAAAAAAAATACTTATTTCTTAGGGTAGTTTAAGTGTGTTGTACAACAAGCACCAACATTGCTACTATCTTTTTTTTTCTTTCTGCACTTTAGGACAGGGTCTATAGGGTCTCACTACATAAACCAGACTTGTAGTGCTCTTCCTGTGTTCATTGTCCCAAGAGCTGGGATTACAGATTTGTGCCACTGTGTCTAGTCTCAATTGCCATCTCAGCGTGCCCCTGGGGCAGGGCCAGCATGACATGCCTGGGGAATGCTTCTGTCTATCCATCCATCATCCATCTATCCGTCCGTCCGTCCGTCCGTCCGTCCATCCATCCATCCATCCATCCATCCATCCATCCATCCATCCATCCATCCATCCATCTGGTGTCTTGCTGTGTAGTGCTGGCTGGCCTTGGGTTCACTACGCAGCCCAGGCTGACCTCTAACTCACCAGTGATCTTCTTGCCTCAACCTCCCTAGTGCTGGGATTATAGTTATGTACCACCATGCCCAGCTTGTTTCTTAAATTTTAAACTGGCCTGGTTTGGCTTTGTTTTGCAAGAAAGCTCAACGAGTAAAAAACAATACTAATATATATTTTTCCTTGTAAAAAATATATGTCTTTGCGGGACTGGGGTTCGATCCCTGGCACCACATGCCACACTGGCCCCACCCCCAGGTGCACTGAGACCTGGCATGGTGGCGCACACCTGTAATCCCAGTGCCGGGGAGGCTGAGAACAGGAGGATCACTATGAGCCCGAGCTGCGTAATGAGATCCTTACCAAATACACTTAAAAAGTAAATAAAAAGCAATGTATTGATGTACAGTGTGAGCATTACCATTCAAGTGAACAATCTGTTATCAACCAATGATAACAAAAAAGTCTTCAGCTTCATTTCACTAATACATTTTTAAATACTGCTTACATATATTTCATGAATACTTATTCAATCCTAACTTAAGTGTTCATGTCAAGTAGTTATTTCCAGACTGTCAAAGTATGAACCATCTTGCTATATCTTACATGGTCTAGCTTTCATCCTAGACCTATTGTGTGTGTGGCCACACAGCTTTGCTTGGGTCTAAACTGCCCAGAAAGAGGTCAAAAGATGCCTGGAAGATCAAGACAGGAATTCTCCTTCAGTGTTCAAGTACTTACTGCTTCTTTTAAACTCACCATGGTCTTTGAGGAAATCATAGTTTAAGGAAATGGTAATTTCCTGGGTGAGTACAAGCAGCAAAGAAGAATGTTATTGCTGACCCAAAGTTAGGGCCATATTTGACCAGCATGTCTTTTATTTATTTTATTTTATTTTTTATTTATTTATATATTTATATATTTATTTATTTTTTCAGCCTGTCTTTTTAACAAATCCCAAATATATTATATTGATGTTCTGAATTTACTTTTGGGTAAACGGTGAACTATTATAAACCATGATTCTGCTATTGTTCAGTTAACTCAGTTTTAATCACTGATACAGTACTTTGAAACAAGTCTCCTTATCTCTTTTATTGCCCCCACCATTTCTTTCCAATACCATGGAGCTTAGTCTTCATTTTGTCCCTGCAGTTAGAAAATTTCCTTCCCCTTAGCAATCTGACACTGCCACCTCCTTTGTTTAATGACAGTGGAAGTCTTCATTACAAGAGTCTCTCGTGTGACCTTCTGCTTTCTGCAGGTGTTCCATCTACTATATACTTCCAGTACAGCCTCATCCACTTCTTTAAAACTGTTTCTTGGCCATGTTTTTGTTTTGTTTTGAGTTAAAGCTTACAGTTGGAGCATGGTAAAGTTTCAAACTTGAGAACCTCAGCTGTCTGGAGGATTAAGTCTCAAACCACTCCAGATCAGGGTTTTATTTTAGAGATGTGTGCTTTGATCTTGTGCTTAAAGAGAGTCACGATTTATAAGCACATTTCACATACTTCTATAAGAATGTGCTGCCAGAGGCCTGGTGCTTTCTGGGCACAAGTGGTACAGACTTGTACCATAGCAGTCATTAAATTAAACTTCTCATTCCTGATGAGCCAGTTGGATGTCAAGTTCAACATGTTATTCCAGGTGATACCTAAGATGGCCTGTAAGCTAAAACTTGTGTCGTCTCGGCTAGACTTTGTTTTGGGCACATTACTATTTTAGTGTTCATTTTATGCAACAATTATAAAACAATAAAGCCATTATATATGTAAACACTTTTTATCATTATAGGAAGTGTAAAAGTCCTTCAAGAAATAAAAATAAAGTTGTCTAAAATACCTTGTGCTGTTTCAGTAGGAATGGTAAAAGCATGAGCATCCCCCCGTCATGCACAATCCACCACACATCAATGTTGCCCTCAGAAAATTGCTCCACATTGCTGGGAAAGAAGGAGACATTTTTAGCCACCAACAGAGCAAGATGAGCAGCAGTTGTCACACGAACTGTGCCTAGGGAGAAAAAAAGAGATGCAAGATAAGCAGACAAGAATCTTGAGGCTTGTTTTACTTCCCACCAAGTTAGGAAAGCAAGGAAAATACTCTTGTATTTCTTTGAGGAAGGTGTCTTATTTCACAGTAGCTATACCTCACTAAGTCAAAAAAATCATGAACAATTTGAACAGAAGTACATTGAGAACCAGGGCTGTTACTATACGCACTCCAATTACTACCTTTCTAAAAGGGAGTATGTAAATTTGGGAGATCTGGATGCTGAAGGACAATCCTAATTCCTGTGATATCAATATGAAAAATCTTAAGTGAAATATGGAAAACTATGAGATAATTCCTAGAATAAGACCTGACAGTTTGTGAACATAAATGTAAAGGTGGAGAAGCTAAGTAAAATCAGGCTATTACAATTAGTAGTTTATAAGATCATGCTTCAATGATGGCATAATCCCTACTTCAGAAGGCAGAGAGTGAAGTTAGGGCAATAGAGATTTAACTGTGTCTCCTGTTTGGGCTCTCAGGTTATTTGGGGAAATGTCTGTACCAATAAAAGTTTTCCAAGCACGAGCATCTTCACTCTGACGCCAGCCATTAGGCCAGCCCATCACCACTGTGTTGTGCTTCATGCCCCCAAGGCCACAGGACTGGATGAGGTGGGAAATGCCCTCTCGAAGTTTGGCAGCAACCACCAGCTGGCTGAATCCTTTTACTTTCTCTGCTTCCATTAGATGCTTAATCGTCTGAAAGAAAGAGAACCTCAACAATTAATCGCTTTGCCCCAGACCTTTCAACTCATCATTCCTTCTCCATATTGTATTTCCTGTCTCTTTCTTAAAACTCTGCATAAGACTCAATCTCCTAAAGTCCAAAAGATTAAAACAGTTCTAATGAAATGTCATTGTCATTTGTCTTTTTCATTTTTCTTTCTTTTTTAAGACAAGGTTTCACTAGCCCAAGCTGTTTTCAAGCTTGTGATTTTCATGCCTAAGCCTCATAAGTGCTGAGACTACTGGTATGTGCTAGCATACCCAGCTTGTCTTTTTCACTTTCTAGTACTTACTTTATATTTTTACATCTAGAGCTGGTTATCTACATGCAGTTTCTCTGCCTGTTTTTCTTTCTTTGTAACATACCTAAAAACTAAGAACAGGAATCTCCATAGAAAGAATGTCTGCATACTTCTGTCACTGACCAACGGAGTTTACTGACCAATGGGAAGTCTTACTACTGCATGTCACAAAACTATAAGCGATTCTATTAAATCTGGACACTTACCTGCTCAGCAGCTAAAGCTTCACCATAGTTCTCCAGGAAGTTCCCCACAATAACAGAGCCCACAATAGTGAGACCTTTTCCTGCTTTCAGCTGTGATGCAAATGTAAGGAGGCGAGGATGCTTGACATGTAAATCTTCGTCCAGTTTCAGCAATACAAGCAGCTGAGGCCTATAAAAAGGTTGGGGTGGAGAGGAGAAAACAAGTTCGGGTTGTAGAAACAGAATGACAATCCCATCCTTTGCTTCAAGGAACTGTATAATACAATCTGACAGAAAAAAAAGAAGACAAGCTTATTGTTGTTACCATACAACTTAGGCTGTTAAGCTTAACCTCACTATCTGTCTG